CTAAACAACTCACACCACAGCTTATTGTGTAGGTGAATACAGTCTATAAGGGTCAACCAGTGGTGGGTTCCTCCCGGTTCGGCCCAGTTCTGCTGAGCTGGTAGCTGGCGTTACCGAACCGGTGCTGCCCCCCCGCCCGCCCCGCATTCTTCTTACCTTTTATTTGGCCCCACCCCCAATCTATTGCTGCCTCCTGAGTCCCAGCTGATCGGCTAGAGGGAAAAAAACTGTTTAAACTCTTGCCCCCTACAATGGGCAATGGGCCGCCCTACAGCTGATCAGTGTTAAAAGAAAACAAATGAGTAGACCTGTGCCTGCAAAAATAAATGGGTAGACCAGTGCCTGCAAAAATAAATAAGTAGACTGGTGCCTGCAAAAATAAATGAGTAGAGCGGTACAGCTTTGCAAGCAGTTAAAAGTCTGGTAGACCAGTACCTCTGCTAAATTCTAAAGAATTGTCACATGACCATCAAGCCACACCCACAACTTAAGCCATGCCCACAGAACCGGTAGTAAAAAAAATTAGAACCCACCCCTGGGCTCAACCATAGTTAAGCCATCATCATAAAACATTTAATCAGTGGAACAACTTGCCTCTAGTTGTGGGTGCTCCGACACTGGAGGTTTTTGAGATTGGACAACTATTTATTTTAAATGGTGCAAGGTTTCCTATTTGAACAGGGGATTGGACTACTAAAACTCCAAGGTCGTTTCCAACTGTTATTTTGGTAGGTTGTAATATGCAAACTGAGTCACAAGCTTTGAGTGTCTGTGACAAGAGTGAAAAAATGATCAGTTGTTATGAATTCCAGATGTAGGGAATGAAAAAACAGGACTTCCATTTGAATCTCTGGTTCAGGTTTGAGGTAAGCTTCTTTCATTCCATCCTGACTTTAAGTCGTTACTAGTACTACTGTGTTTCCCTGAAAATAAGACCCTGTCTTATATTTTTTTGAACCCTGAAATAAGCGCTTGGCCTTATTGCCATGCGCTCAAAAGCCCGATTGGGGGCTTTTGGGGATGTCTTATTTTGGGGGAAACAGGATACAAGGCTGGTAAACTCTCTGGGCTACTAGTATGTCTGGTCTATTGATCCCCAATTAGGGAAGGGATGAGAAACCAATGGTTCTCCTCTTGCAGGACTCTTTTTATTTTCACAAGCCTGAGTCAATGCAGCCCAAACTCAGAAATTTAGGGATAGTGGTTCTTAAATGGTTTGAACCAATTATAGGTAGTCTTCAATTTACAACTACAACTGAGCCCAAAATTAATGTGGCTGTGAGACAATTAAGTGCACTTTGCCCCACTTTACGACCTTTCTTGCCACAGTGAATCACTGCACTTGTTAAGTTAGTAACACTGTTGTTAAGTGAATCTGGCTTCCCTATTGACTTTGCTTGTTAGAAGGTCGCAAAAGGCGATTACATGACCCCAGGACACTACAATTGTCATAATAAATGAGTCAGTTGCCAAGCATTTGAATTTTGATCACGTGACCGTGGGGATGCTTAAGAGTGAAAAATGGTCATAAATCACTTTTTTTCAGTGCCATTGTAACTTTGAATGGTCACTAAATGAACTGTTGTAAGTCAAGGACTACCTGTACTCCTTTTCCTAACTCCAACACTGTGTGTTCTGACCTAGGCTTCCTGAGAAAGCATAAATCACAATTTTAGTCCCAAAAAACCTCTTTTATTGAGACGGCTGTGAATTATGGTCATTCACAGCCCGTAATGATTCACAAAAAGTCTGTGAGGATTCCAACAGATGTCTGCTTGAGTTGACACAGTCTTTCAGAGTAATGTTGATAAGCACCCACCTTTACCTCCCTTGAAACGCTACCAGAGACCTAATTGCCAGTTAGTTTTGCAAGGCCAAATAGAGCACAGAGTCAAATGGACTTCTGAGAGCTTGAATTGACTATATTAACTAATTGCTTCCTGCAAAGGCTCACATCCATTTGCTCCTCTTTTATATCTTATGGGAGGGGCCAATCAACTCCAAGCCTTACTCCCGAGTCACCCTTTTTTTCCTTAATTGTTCTTGCCTTCTGGTAGCTCTGGGCATGTGCACACTATTCTTCTGCCTTGCTGATGTCAGATTCCGGAGGCAGCACATAACTCCCAGATGGCCCTGGCCCCCTCTCTGCCTCTGATGCAGAGCCCTCATCCGAGCCTTCCCCAGATTCCAGGATTGGCCCATGTTCCTCCCCAACCTCCTCAGTGTCTGACTCTGCTGCCAGCTCTGCAGGCCACTGGTGGACCACAAACTGTGAATTTCCTCCTAAGGAAAAAAAACTGCTGGGTGTTTATCTCTTATTTCTTTATTCATTTGTTTCCACTAGCGTCTCAGCAGTAGCAACAGTCCCAAACAGGATCCTCAATTCAGAAACAAGCAATTTCAAACTGCTTCATCATCACTTTAGGGTAATTACATCCAGTTTAAAACCAGTGTGACTGGAGTTACCCTTCAGAAACCGTTGCTCTGCAGCATAAAAGGAAACTCAGTCTATGTTAGCCCAAAACCCTTGTCTGAGTTCATGGTGCAAACTAATTACAAATTAACCACACAAGCTGAGTATACACAAATAATTGGCTTAGCTATACTGTCTGCTTCAAGAGAGTCTTATACTGACTCCTGGAATATTTGGCAGTTTTAAAATGTGTTTTCTTCAGAGCTCATTCAAGCCTAGACCAGGATTATTAAGTGTCTTTAAAACTGAAATAATAGCTACTTTTTCTGTCCTGACCAATCCCCATCCCACTTCTTAAATCTTGGGAGACATCAAAACTCCCACCTCACCTTATTTTAGCGTTTTGCCCCTAGCTTTCTGTCAAGACTTCAACCTGCCAAAAAAAAAAAAAAAAGGCGGAAATTAATCTGGGAGATCTCCCTTCCCAGATCTGGGGTAAGCTTTTCATTCCATCCTGACATTGTTTCTACTACAAGGCTGGTAAACTATATCTTGGCTACTAATGTGTCTGGTCTAGGTCAAATGCAATTAGTTCCACAGGTAGGCACCGATGTAATTTTTTTCTTTCCTGCTTTATTTTTTATTTATTTATTTATTTATTTATTTAATTTGTATACCGCCCTTCTCCCAGAAGGGACTCAGGGCGGTGAACAGCCAAAATTAAAAAAACATACAAATGCAAAAGTTAAGATAATTAAAAGAATTAAATCATTGGCTACCCAAATTTAAAACCCCAAATCCATAAAATTTAAAATCCCAATTAAAAACCATTTAGGCTAGGCCGGCTTGATGAAATAAAAACGTCTTCAGGGCTTTACGGAAGGTCCGGAGGTCCGGGATCAATCGTATTCCAGGAGGCAGCTCATTCCACAGGGCGGGTGCCCCCACAGAGAAGGCTCGCCCCCTGGGGGCCGCCAGCCGACATTGCCTGACCGACGGCACCCCGAGGAGGCCCTCTCTGTGAGAGCGTATTGGCCGGTGGGAGGTTATCGGTAGCAGCAGGCGGTCTCGCAAATACCCTGGCCCTAAGCCATGGAGCGCTTTTTTTTATAGCAATAGGATTTATATACTGCTTTACAGTGCTTTACAGCCCTCTCTAAGCGGTTTACAGAGTCAGCATATTGCCCCCAACAATCTGGGTCCTCATTTTACCCACCTCGGAAGGATGGAAGGCTGAGTCAACCTTGAGCCTGGTGAGATTCTATCAGCCAAACTGCTGGTAGCCAGCAGTCAGCAGAAGTAGCCTGCAGTATTGCACCACCGCAGCTCTTTTATACATAATTCAAGGCAGCGAACATACTTAATACTAATTTAACACTAATACGATCTCACATTATTATCCTGGGACACATACCGTATTTTTTGGAGTATAAGACACACTTTTTTCCATTAAAAAAAGAGGGTGAAAATCTGGGTGCGTCTTATACTCCGAATGTAGCCCCGCCCAGCTTCTCAAAAAGGAAGTTTCAGAGGCTGAAAAAAGCATCAGAAACAAAGCTTCAGAAAAGAATCCCCCAAACAGAGCTTCAGAGGCTTTTTTTCTGAAGCTCTGTTTCGGAGATTTTCAGAGGCAGGAAAAAATGTTTTTTCTGAAACAGAGTTTCAGAAGTTTCAGAGGCAGAAAAAAAAGCAAAGGCACAGAGCTCACAACCAAGGAACCAGTTGCTAAAATTCACCTCTGGGAACAGCTGATTGGGGGTATTTCTGGAGGTTGATCCACCTGCCAATCAGCCTCCTGTAGGTTCAGAGGACTTACATGAAGAACCGTTGTAGTATGTCTAGTTTAATGAAAAAAAGGACTAAGGGTGACATGATAGCAGTGTTTCAATATCTCAGGGGCTGCCACAAAGGGACTCAAGCTATTCTCCGAAGCACCTGAGGGGAGGACAAGAAGCAATGGGTGGAAACTAATCAAGGAGAGAAGCAACTTAGAACTAAAGAGAATTTTCCTGACAGAACAATTAATCACTGGATCTATTCTATTCTATTCTATTCTATTCTATTCTATTCTATTCTATTCTATTCTATTCTATTCTATTCTATTCTATTCAAGTTAGAGAGGACCTTTTGTCAGATATTAATCGGGGAATAATTTTGATTTCACAAACCCTTGAGAGTGTCTTGGGGAATCCCCAGGACCACACTAAAATGCTGCTGGACAGTAGCTGAAAGCTTGGTTCAGACATCCTAAACTGTCTGAAAAAGTAGTCTACGAAGTAGTCGCTAACAGCTGAGTTGACAAGCAATTAGGAAGCCATAAACAATGGTTTATGAACAAAGGCCAGTTTTATACAATATGCTAAATCAAACCATATTCCTTTAGATATACTAATGACCCCGGACAATAGTGGAATTTTTAGTTCTCAAATTAAGTAGTTGTCTCAAACTCATTCAGATAATACTTCTAATTTGTACTGATCATATACTTTGGTTTTCATGAAATGTTCTGCTATCCTTTTGAAATAATTGGTCTGTGAAACTACTATGCCATTATGATGTTCCCAAACTAAGATAATTATATCCAAAATCTGTTTTTCCATATACATATTTTATTCAGGAGCATATTATAAAAAAATAAGAAATTACATTGATTGTATTTTATATCAAAAAGTATGTCTAAGAAGAGAAATTAAAAAAAATATATCTTTACCCAAACATTTGTGAACAATGTTTATGATGTAGAAATGCGTATTTTGGTTAACAGTTTCTCCTGTTATTTTTTACAAGGTTATCTATAAATAAAAGTATGCAGCATTAAATATATAGGTCCAGCTGATATGAACTTGGAATATTCATATACAGAAAGAAGTACAGGTTATTTTCAATATAACCTTCACATGAATTTCAAACCAAATTCTAATACAGTAGTTATAGCCAAATACTAATTTTAAAAATATAAATGTCCATAGTATAACATATGTAAAAGGGTGAAATGATTTTAAACAGTATTTTCCATTCCTTTCTAGTTACTTGGTGGTATTTTTGTTAAGAAATGAGTAAATGGACGACCATGGACACAGCTGTTATGTTGGGTTCCAAGTTGCTTCCCCATTCTGTTTATGGTATTCTGTACGTCTTCTTCTGATAAATATAAAGGCAATTTTCGGGATAACCGGACTGCTTCTCCCTGTGGAATGAAGAATATGTATAAGTGATGGTCATAATGTATTTCCAATATATTCTAATAGTAGAGAGAAATTTGGCAAGTGGGTGATCTTCTATTACATTATTTTCTTTCTTTGCCTTATTACACACACAGACAAGACTTTTCACAAATGAATACGATCAAATTGACTTTGTCTTAAATCCAAACACAAATCCAAGAAATGAGACTATGCTTTGTGTTTCTTACACTGCTTCCATTGTAGAAGCTATAAGTTTTAAAAGGTAGTTATATTATTTATATAGTTATATTATTTAGTTATATTATTATAGTTACATTATTTAAAAATATGCATCTCATATAACAGTAAATTAATACTAGATAATAAAAGAAATATTCCAATTATTTAATTTAATTACTGCTTTTAGTATAATTGTCTTACCCCTCAGGGAGTAATATCTTATAGTTAAGCATTAAGCTGTGGAACAATTTTTTGAGAATACAACATTCTTACCTCCAAATAGTTTACCACTTTAAGAGGTCTGCATTCATAGACTTCTTGTGCATTATTATTTATCACAGCACTTAGAATTTCCTTCAAATCTGATATACCATAATATAGCAGACAGCTGGTCATTCCTTCTATTTCCAGCTCACTTTCCACAGCTGAAGTACCTTATCATAAAACAAATACATGATACATGGAATAACTGGATATAGTTTACATATTATTCTGATTTGTATATTGAAATAGGTATACTGCCAAGCAATGCCCTTAACAGCAATCCTAAATATGTGATTATACTACAAACACACTTAAATTTGCACAATACCTTAGAACAGGATAAAGCACTTTTTCTTTAACTAGTTTTAAAGTAAAGTTTTGCAAAACCTTTTTGCTGTCTCCACATGCATGTATTGCTATGATGATTTTAAATTTCTTATTATTGTAAATTTTAGTAGAAATTGAAAAGGCTTAAATTTGTTAATAAAAAAAGATTTAAAATTCAAAGATTAAATCACTTGTTAAATGATTCTCAGGCAGTGCTATTGTGATCTTAAAGAAAGAAGATAAGATGCAGCACCCTTTCATCACATGTATAACAAATTTTTAGTAATTTATCACCTCTTAAAATACGACAAATTATCGTTATTTCAGTTTCCTTTGTATGTCCAGTGTAATATCCTTTTCCATGTAATTCTTAGAAATTATCATTTTTAAATCTACTTTCAAATAAAATCTCCTGTTATAAAAAAATATACTAAGAATTAAAGTAAGAAACCAAGATATAGATACCTGGTATTATCCTTATCTTAAATCCATTTGCTACAAGCCTGGGATCCAACAAATAGGATGATCCATCAAATCTTGCACTTTCTCTAGACATACTGCAAAGCACTTCCATATAATGAGAGTCACTAAAAAGACTACAATAAAAAAATTACATAAGATAGCATTCTTAAAAAAGATAGAGAATTTTAAAAAGTATTCCAAAGGGGTAGTATGTGTTAAGGATTGTACCACATTGTTTTTTATTTTTATAAATATTTGCAGTTAGCTTATACTCTTTGAATGAAATGGTACAAAAAGTCTATTACAAATAATCCTCAATTTACAGCCATTTGTTTATCAAAATTATGACAGTGCTAAAACAACTGATTAACGATTAATTGTCGCATTTAACAATCCTCAGTGTCCCCATGATCATATATTAAAATTCAGGTACTTGGCAACTGGCATGTATTTATGACAGTTGAAGTGTCCCTGGGTCATATGATCACCATTTGCAATCTACTCAAGGGTTCAAACCAGTGGTGAAATGTAAAATTTGTTACTACCAGTTCTGTGGGTGTGGCTTGGTGGTGGTGGGGTAATGTGACTGGGTGGGCGTGGCCAACTTTTTTTTTTTACTTTTAAAAGCATTTTTTCTACAACCTCTTCAGCTGAAGAGGTTGTAGAAAAAATGCTTTTAAAAGCGTCTGACAATCTCAGCTGAGTTGCCTGATCGACAGAGGCTTTTTTTCCTTTTAAAAACATTTTTTCTACAACATGTTCGGCCGAAGAGGTTGTAGAAAAAATGCTTTTAAAAGCCTCTGACGATCCCAGCTGAGCCGCGCGATCATCAGAGGCTTTTTTTTTTTTACTTTTAAAAGCATTTTGAAGAGGTGGTAGAAAAAATGCTTTTAAAAATAAAAATAAAAAGCCTCTGATGATTGCGCAGCTCAGCTGGGCATGGGGGTGGGCAGAGATGTTTGCTACCGGTTCTCCGAACCACCCGCCACCATCGCTACCGGATCGGGCTATCCGGTCCGAACCGAACCGGGAGCATTTCACCCCTGGCTCAAACAACCAAAGTCAATGGAGGAAGCTTGATTTTTTTTTAACGAATGTGTGATACATTTAATGACTGTGACAAAAGGGTTGTAAAATCAGGTGAGATTCAATATTCACATAGCTAAGCAACCAAAGTTCCTATTCCAATTATGGTCGTAAGCTGAAGTCTATTTTATAATAAAACCCCTATTTAGCAGATATCATTTAGCAGAGTACAGAAGCAGTGAACAAAAATTTACAATTGTAATAATTTCATCTAATACCAGAGAAAGCAAAACAAGGAAAGACATTAACTAATAGTTTGCTTAGAAGTCAAAAAGAGAAGGCAGCATTAGAGGGCAGTGGGGCTGACCAGTTCTTCATAGTTTTATCAAACTCACAAAAAATTTAGCAGCTAAGACCTGGTAGATTATATTACCAGATATGTAAAGGTTTTTCAATGGTTTCAAGATGCTTGGTTGGAGAATCAGCTTAAGCCTTTCTGCCTGACTGACAATGTAGGGACCCAAGATTTAGAGACTTAAAATGACTTGGCTATAGTTTATCCTTGAACCTGCAGTTTCTAGAGTCTGTTCCTAGAAAGACATCTGTGAGCTTGAGAATTTGAACTTCCTAACCTGTTTGATAAAGGCCTGACAGTGGGAGGCTATATTAATAAGAAGGCTTTCACCCAAACATAGCAAACACAGAATAATATTAGCAGATGAAAGTTTGCTACCTCAATTTAGGCATATACTGAAAGTCAAATTCAAGAAAATTGAGGCAATTTCTGTTGACTCCAACAAAGTCATACTAACTAAAGAGAACAAAAAAAGCATGAAAGAACAAATCTAAACAAACACTGGGAATGCCACATTTTTCCTAGAGCAGACCGTGAAAGAGAAGTTGTGCCCTTTCAGCTTGGCACCGAGGAAAGAAAGGCTTCAGTCAAAAGATTGTTCTATCACTTGCTGAATGTAATTTATAGAGACCCCAATAAAAGAACATGTACTCCCATCTCATACTACAACTATTTCACAGAACATGATCTGTTAGTGAACAAAGATAGGTCTTCTCCCTGACTTGGAACTACTAGTCAGCATTAGAGCTTGGGTTAAGTCAGGGCAATGCATCCAGGGTCTTTTTAATCCTGTTGTTGCTGCCAAAGATTGGCATAATAGTATGTGCTAGTGGTATAAGCCTCTCTGAAGATTTGAAGTATTTTCCTTCGGGTGAATGAAGCCTTCTAAAAATCAATGGAACAGTCTACAGTTTAAAATGTGACTTTTGCAAAGGTATACTTAGCTACTGAGGAGGGAATCGCAACTGCTACAACAGTAGATTGAAATAAATATAAAGAAATTGTGGGTTATTACACCTTGCAGTTAACCTCACAATCCTTGATGTTTATTGAGTTGTCTTCCCGTCCTCTGGCACTTTTGAATCTGCCTCAAATAGAGCTACGGTACTCCCCAAAAATCCTAGGATGAGAAAGTATTTGCTTGTGAAAATGTGCTGGATCCAAAGTTCAGTGGGATGTTGTGCTGCAACAGCTAAATGAAACTGCCAGAAAATCCTAACAGAGATTCTTTTTAGGAGAGCAACTCCATGTTCCATGGTGCTGAATGAACCATTTATGACCTTCTGACATTTAAACCTGAAAAGCAAAGTCATTGGGGAAGCCAGATTCACTTAACCGAACAACTGCAATGATTCACTTTGCCACAACTGTGACAAAAAATGGTTGTAAAATGGGGCAAAACTCACTTAACAAATGTCTCACCTAGCAACATAAACTTTGGGCTCAATTCTGGTCATAAATCGAGGACTACCTGTAATGGAACTGTTCCTGTTCTAACTACAGATAATAACACCATACACAATGCTGCTTAAAAATTTGTGAATTTTTTTGAATTTTCTAAAAGGTTCTAAAACTAGATAGAGATCCTAATTAATCCAAAACTACATAATTGTGTGTGGCAAAAGCATTTCAACCTTTAGGATTATCAGTGCATTTGAAGGGGAGATTAGAATCAGACTTTCCAATCAATGAGATGATAATTAAGTTTAGGTTTAGAAGATCCTGACTAAATTCTCCATCAAAGTCTATTCTTTACAATGCAAGGATGTAGATATGTCATGGCTTGAACAAACATTTCTATGCTTTTCTGTTTACTTAAGATAGATATACTTCTAGAATGTTATTTTCACTTTACCTCTCAGTTAATATAATAGGACTGTCCAATTTCTCTATAGGAAGCTTATGGTTTTCAATTAGTTTTTTGAAGAGAAGGGCTTCTTCTATTCTGTATGGATTTAGCATCTCTATTTTTTCCTCAGAGGCAAGTATCCATGTATCAGGAAAATTCGGAAGGCGAATTAAGCAAGATTCCTCTTGATCTGCCTTTTTATGTTCAAGCCTTTGAAGTTTTTGTTTGAATGCATCCATGGAGAAAGGCAGTTGTACAGTTTTTCTTGCTTGGTAATCATCATGCTTCTTTCTTATTTGTGAATTAAAAAGTGTGTCCAATTTTTGCTGATTATTTAAGCAGTCTTTTTGTTTAATCTTGTGTCTTTTCTCTCTCTCCCTCATTGATGTTTGCATATTCTGACACATAGCTTTTCTGCTTTGCTTGTTGTATCGTTCCAGATCTTTGCCAGCTTTTTCCTCATATCTTACATAAAGAGAATGGAAAAGAACAGAATATGATTGTGTTAGCACAAAATATAACAAATACATAATGTGTTGCTTTTCATTACGAAAAACAATTTTCCTGCTTCATTTTAATAGCTTTAGGTAAAGGTTCCCCTCGCACATATGTGCTAGTTGTTCCTGACTCTAGGGGGCGGTGCTCATCTCTGTTTCAAACCCAAAGAGCCAGAGCTGTCCGAAGACATCTCCATGGTCATGTGGCCAGCATGACTAAACGCCAAAGGCGCACGGAATGCTGTTCCAAAGGTGGTCCCTATTTTTCTACTTGCATTTTTTACGTGCTTTCAAACTGTTAGGTTGGCAGAAGCTGGAACAAGTAATGGGAGCTCACCCTATTACGCAGCACTAGGGATTTGAACCACTGAACTGCCAACCTTTCGATCAACCAGCTCAGTGTCTTAGCCACTGAGCCACTGTCTCATTAAGTCACTGTATTTTCAATAACAATTCCTTTTTAATACAAATATGACTATATTATAACTACAGTTAAATTATTTGGATTCATTTATTTCTGTCAAAAAATTAAAATATATGTATCAGCACTGTGTTCAGTAATAATGGATTTAGCCAACATTTCAAGCAGTGAAGAGAACCAAAGACAAAGTGGATCCGTCCTCCCCCATATACAGACAACTGTGGTAGTCTTCGACTTACAACAGTTTATTTAGTGACTTTCAAAGTTACAATGGCACTGAAAAATGAGACTTTTGACCATTTTTCAAAGTTACAGCCTTTGCAACATCCCCATGATCATGTGATCAAAATTCAAATGCTTGGCAACTGGTTCATATTTATGACGGTTGCTGTTGTCCCAAGGTCATGTGATCATCATTTGCAACTTTCTGACAAGCAAAGTCAATGGGGAAGCCATATCTACTTAACAACCAGGTTATTGACTTATCAACTGCAGTGATTCACTTAACAACTGTGGCAAGAAGGATCATAAAATGGGGCAAAATTCACTTAACAAATGTCTCTACGTTCGTCGTAAGTTGAGGACTACCTGCATTTTACATGAATGCAGAAACGAAGTAGGGCAAAAGGGAAAAATCCTTTTGCATGCATTAGTCCATTTGCAAATTGCTGGATGCATATTTTATCACCTGCACAAAAGAACTTTTCCTCAAAACATTATCTCCTAGCTCCTTGAGAGAGTTAGATCCAGAAAACCATGAAGTTTACTTCCTTCTTAAATGTTGGCTATTCATAAAACAAAGGTATTAAATTGAATTGTAATTACAGCCACAGTTATCAAAAACACATCTTACCAAGCTCAAAGAAAGTATTTTTTTAGTTGTTGGATTTATATCTAGTCTATTTTAAACTGACAAGATTTAATACAGAATTAAGTTCAACAATCTTACTTCTTTTTTTCTTCTTCATTCAATGAGTTCCACACTGCTTCCATTTTCAGCAGTAGTTTTTCAGAGTTTAATTTGGTAATTTCACTCAATGAATCAGGAGAGTAGTCTTGAACAAAAAGTTCAAATGCTGACATGGATTTCCTGATAACCTTATTACTAATTAAGTCATAGGCTGTAATCTGACCCATTTTATCTTTTATCACATTTGTTTTTTTAACAATTTGATTGTTACTTTCTTCTTGGAGTTTTGCTAGGCCACTCTTTTTCGTTTGAGTTCTTACTTCATCCATATTTGGAATTAAAATCTGAACAGGTTCCAGATTTTCTGCCCTGGAATTTTTAAATGCATTCCCCAGACTCCATTTATCAGCAGTGATTTCAGATGAATCTGCAGAGGTTTTGGCTCCTTCTTTTTCTTCTTGAAAACTGTAATTTCTTGAATCACTCTCCATGCTATTCTCACACTGAATTGCAGTATTATCATCTAGATTAAATATTTTCTTATTCTGTTGATCTTGACAAAGTACATTATTTGGTTGGTAATCCTGAAATTGATCATATCCAACTATTTCATTATCAGGTATTTCAATTTCAGTAGATATATCATGAGAATGATTATATATTCTTTGATTGCCAACTAATCTGTTTTCCTGTACATTTGCATTTTGTATGTCATTACTAAGTGAATATTGTGAAGTACAAGCAAGTGGATTTATTCTTGTACAAGATTTGCCTGTAACTTCTTGTTCGGCTTCATTAATATCTTTTGAGGTATTGTTGGTTGTATTCATTTCATTAGACACAGAACTATTTAATGGTCCATATAATGATATCAAACTCTCTTCAATAGCAAGACAGATAGACTCCTAAAAAATCAAAGAAATAATTCAATAAAAATATATTACTTATTGTTACAGAACAATTTATTTATCTTCAGGCCACAAGAATTTTGCTCTTTTTAAAAATCCAAGCAATATTAAAAGAACACATCAGGGGTGAAATGCTCCTGGTTCGGACTGGATCGCCTGATCTGGTAGCTATGGCGGCGGGTGGTTCAGAGAACCGGTAGCAAAAATCCCTGCCCCTCCCCCCAGCTTAGCCGCGCAATTATCAGAGGCTTTTTTTTTTTAACTTTTAAAAGCACTTTTTCTACAACCTCTTCGGCCGAAAAAATGCTTTTAAAAGTAAAAAAAAAAAGCCTCTGATGATTGCGCGGCTCAGCTGGGATCGTCAGAGGCTTTTAAAAGCATTTTTTCTGCAAGCTCTTTGGCCAAAGAGGTTGTAGGAAAAAAAATGTTTTTAAAAAGCTCTGACGATCCCAGCTGAGTTGCCTGATCGTCAGAGGCTTCTAAAAGCATTTTTTTCTGCAATCTCTTAAGGTTTTTGTTTTTACTTTTAAAAGTAAAAAAAAAAAAAAAAAAGTTGGCCACACCCACCCAGTCTCATTATCCCCCACCAAGCCACGCCCACAGAACCGGTAGTAACAAATTTTACATTTCACCACTGGAACACATACTCAGAAACAATTATTTTACTGCATCACCATAGTAAAATCTCTAGTATCTAATTACATATTATGAAAGAGAAAAAGACTTAAAGACTCTACCTTATTATGTACTAATACTTGAGATTTATCTGGTAGTAAATTGACATCCACAGCAGATGGAGGAATAGTAATATTGAGAAAGAATATCGGGAACAAACGATTAAAATCCTTGCTATAGTACACTTGAACAAGCTAAAATATTCATAAAAAAAGAACAAAGTTACTCAATATTTCTAACTTTAAATTAAATACAATACCAAATTATTGCTAGAATCTAATGGATTACTTTTCATCAAAGAAACTGTGTAGGGAATATTTCTTTTCTCTATGGTAACCTTTCCTGTATAAAGCTGCTCGAGAGGACCTTACAAAGTGCTATAGCAGATCTTTGCTTCTATGACACTGGATTCCATATTATATTGTTTATTTATAACTTTAAGTATATATAGCAAGAATTATGGTCACATAACTGGGTTGAGGAAAGAAATAGCAGCTTTTATTAGACTGCAACTATATAAAATGGACGCAATGGAACTTTGTTGCTGGTAAAGTGACATGCTACAAGAATGTAATGCTATTTCACCTGGTATGTTCTAAATGCATGCTGATGCAGTACTTCCTTGTGTTAATAAAGGCAAATTACTGCCCATTAGTAATTACTGAGGAACAGGCTATATTTAAAAATATATATATTTTCAGAGTTAATATGGGAACTTTTAATTTTATCTTAGGTTAAAGAGGAGGAGAACCTAGGTAACTAATTTCAACAATTAAGAACTGTCATCTCTATCCCATGCTACAGTGCAATAAAATTCTAAAATTGAAGGCAATTTCAAAACAACTTGTGATATAGGCTTGCATTCTAAAGTACAAAGTTAAAACTTGAGTTCAAGTCTGCTATAATTTAATTTAAACAATGTTTTATAAATCACAGAAATAGGATTGAAAAGGCAGTACCTTGAGAATTTCTTTTTGATACACTGGTCGGCTGTTTATAAAAATGTAACTTCTTTCTGAGTTCGAATGACCTGTCAAACCTTTATCTGAATCAGGCTTTGGAACAAAGCCACTGAAAGATATCTATAATAATAATGAATATCATTAAATGATCATTAAATAACATTGAATCACATAGAACCTTTAACAAAAATCAAGTCATTTTGGTACATGTGATAAATTGGTAAATATTGGTATTTAAATAAATACGTAAATACAATTTTTTCAATAATTTTCCATGTAATATTTTACTTTTCAGTTATTACTTATAGAACACAGAATCAAACTGTTGGAAGGGACTTTGAAGAGACCCAATCCATCCATGCCAACTTTAGTTTATTTGATCCGTTATTTATCCAACAGTGAATTTGTTTTGGCTCACTTCCTTTGCAGTTTCCTTTTTAAACAGCAGCGACAAAAATATAAGCCTTTTCTGTGCATCATTTCAAATAAGCATATTTATATGTAGTTTTCCAAATATAGCAATATATACCCATAGATATGCGTATATATAATAAGTTTCTCAAGTTGTATGTTCTTAATGTACTGTACTTTACTCAGTATTAAGAATAAATACATACTTACATGCCCATTATCCTATTCTCTTAAAGAATTTACAAGAAAGTAAATTCTGGAATGGTCATCATAGCTGACAATATTTGAATGAACCAAAGATTAAGTATGAGAAGTTAAGAGAAAGAAATATAAAGTTGGTTTATATGTTCTTACTTCTGGAAAACTTTTACGGACTTTTTGCCGACACCAGTAGAGGTGAAGAGGATGCTTTGTGGATTTGTTTATTGATATAAACAAATATCAATATATATAGGAATATAGGATGAAAAGAATATTTGTAATATTAGAGGGGGTGAAGAGTCACTAAATGTGTTATACTTGTGATGAAGTTTGGAAATCACTTTTGTATATATTTCTTTTCTAAATTATATCTTACTTTCTTCTCCTCTGTCTCTTTCATTTCTTCTTTTTGCACCTTTTATTCTATTTTCTTCTCTTTTTAAAAGTTTAGTTTGTACTAGAATTTACTATTATAAGCAAAATACTTAATAAAAGTACAATTTTTTAAAAAAAAGAACAAGGCTGAATTGCTGAGAAGTAAGTCCATTGCAACTAATCAATCAGCCTGACATCAATACCTGGGAAGATCCTGGAAGAGATAATCAACAGATTATCAACAGATGTGGGGACACATGTATCCATCCCATCAAGCCCAAAGAAAGTCTGGAATGGTACAGAATGAGCCTGGGCTGTGGGCAAGGGGCTGGATTAGAAGACTTCCAAAATCCCCTCCAACTCTGTTATTTTATGTTCTATAATGCAAATATAGAAGTAAAATAATTTAAAAAGCAAAATGCCGAGATACTAAGAATTAAGCCCACTGCAACTTCAATTATCTCTAGGCGATGGGGGACGATCATAGATTAGGAAGCATTCCTTCAGATGACTCGGATTCAAGCAATTTAAGAACTTAAAAATAATATAGCACAGCAGTGGCACAGAGAGAAAAAATAAAGACAGTTTGATCTTAGGGATTATTCTGCTACATTCTCTGGGGGATTTTTTGATTAGTATGTTTTCAGAAAATTTATTAAAATATGGATGTTTTAATGTTTATGTTATTGTCAAACCATTACTCAAAGACAACTCAAATGACAACAAATGAGGTGTAAATAATATTAAGTTGAAATAATACAGGGAATAAGTAATTTATGTAAAGGTTTAGAAACTTAACTCCAGATCTTCACGGTGCTGCTGAAAAGGTACCATGTTCTTCATAACAGCAGGTCCCACTACTTCCATGAAAGCCATTTTATGATCTAGTACCCTGTTCTTCTGCCATATAATTGTCTGAAAGCCAAATTTATAACATTAAATATATATATATATACACATGAACAAGATCTACTCACAAACATAGGTATAGAATGGCACACTCATCCTGGGCTGTTAACATTCTGTTCCTAAACGCATGTACTTTCTTTTGAGTACAGCATACGTTGTTGTTCCTTTGGTATATATTGTGTAGCAACTGGTCTGTCGGTCTAGAGTTCCTTACCTATTTTATTGTCTAGTGACAGATTTTTAACAACTGGGAAGTCTACAAATACGCAATTGTATAACCCTTAAAAAATCTACAATGATGTTGGCTTTTTGATTCACAAATTACCATCAGTATGACTTGAGAAAGAAGTTAGTCAAAACAGTCATTACTTCAATACATTCATTTCAAAACAGTAATTAATAAAATTGGAAACTGAACAGATGAATGCTAGTACTGCACACATGGCAAAATGTATGCAGATAGAAATCTTACTTAATTCTAGTACTTGAATTATTTATTTTTATTTTATTATTCATATTTCTATGCCACCCACTCTCTGAGGACTCTGGGCGGCTTACATCAAAGACAGTATACTAAATAGCATATTGCCCCCAACAATCTGGGTCCTCATTTTACCCACCTCGGAAGGATGGAAGGCTGAGTCAACCTTGAGCCAGTGAGATTTAATCCGCTGATCTGCTGAACTAGTCAGCTGAAGTAGCTGCAGTACTGCACCCTAACCACTGCACCACCTCGGCTGTTGCCATGGTGGGATGAAATCTCCAATCATCACTTTCAGGCCTGTCAGACATTTTATGTTGTTTATTCTGAGACTTATGGGAGACTGGGATAGCACTATTTCGGTTTTTTTGAACCTCTTCAGCCAGACACACCCATATTTTATGACTCCTCCCTGTAAAGGTCAAATATTTATTCCTTTTAATTCATAGGTATAAATGTGTGATATTTTTGTAATCAGGGTTTTTCCTATGTTGATAAAAGATGTTAAATGGCCATGGTGGGATGAAATCTCCAATCATCACTTTCAGGCCTGTCAGACATTTTATTTGACCTTTACAGGGAGCAACATAAAATGTCTGACAGGCCTGAAAGTGATGATTGGAGATTTCATCCCACCATGGCCATTTAACATCTTTTATCAACATAGGAAAAACCCTGATTACAAAAATATCACTCACACACACACACACACACACACACACACACATATCCCAAATTCTACCTCATTAAGACATTCATATGTTCAGTTCACATTAAACCAAGTTTACAAAGCATAAAATACAGACAAGGTTTATGCTATTTGTTTAAAGCATGGCATTCAATTACAATATGCAAAAAACAAATTTTTGTTGTTGTTTAGACTGATTGTAAATACAATGTATTTACAATGTAAATACAAATACAATGATCATTTTTATAAAATTATTTTCAAAAAGGTAAAATAAGAAAAACAGTCAAAGTTAGCAGAATTGCATACACACTGCTTTCAATTTTACTTCACTTCATGCATTTATTGTAATCATTATATGGAAATAAAGAAAAAGAAAGTGGTATTTGGCAGTTTTTGTACAAATCTGAATGAAATTTACATAGGACAGTTAATAAAGTTAAATTATTGTTGCATATTTTATTGGCAACTCATGAATTCATTTGTAACAATTCTTTAGCGGTAAATAATTATCATATACAAAAGAAACATTTACATTTCTTTTATGCTCAGAAATTCCCAATTCTAACACCTTTGAAATAGTACAGCAGTAATAGTAAATACATACAAATCCAATAAATCTACTTTCCAATCTATAGGAACTATTTAAATTGTCTATGACTGAAGTTAAACTAGCACTTAGATCATTATCAAGAATGAAAGCTACAGGAAATCATGGAAAATTGACAGAAATATGGCAAGCAATGTAAAACTTTCAGTAAAAGAGCTAACCAAACTATGCTAACAAATCTGGAGAATGACACAGTCTCCAAGAGAGTGGAAGAGGTAAATCAATATTCCAATACAGAAAAAAAGAGACTTAGATAGGAGGCAGAGTTAGCAAGCTAATATACAATAATCTTAATTTCATATAAAAAAGGCTTTGGATCATCCAAATAAAGACTTACATGGAAAAGGGGATGGCACGGTTCAAACTGACTTAAAAAAGGGCAAGGAAGAAAAGACACTATAGTCAATGCATGCTGTACAACTGAGAAAGTCAAAGAATACAAAAATACGTTAATGTGTGCTTCATATTGAAAAGCCTTTGTTTATGTTGATATCGAAAAGCCTTTTATTATGTTTATCATGTCATACTATGGAATGTCCTTAGAAAAATAAGAAAGCCAGCATCTCAGTATTGTCATTTGAAACATATACATAAATCAGAAAGCCACAATAGAGCAGAACATAGGAAAACAGACTGGATTCAGGTCAGAAAGGAGTAAGAATAGGCCATAAACTCTCCTCTTATTCAATCGATATGCAGAATATATATTGAGGGAATTTGGATTAAAAGAAGATGAATATGGTTTTCAATTGGAGGATAAATAACCGTATCAAATATCAATAACCAATGCTATGCTGATGACACTATTCTAATAGTTGAAAATGCAAATGATTTGCAAGCTTTAGTAATGAAAGTCAAGGAATACAGTGAAAAAAATGGATTAACATTAAATATAAAGAAGATAACAGGCCCAGAAACCAGGCTTAGAATTGACAGAAGTTGTAACGTCTGGGTTCTCCCTTTTAGGATTAAATATTAACAGAAAGGAATCAGCACTTAAGGATTACTCTGCAGATTAACACTTGATAGAGTAGCCATGAAGGCCTTGGAAAAGACATTCAGATGCTGAGATCAGGATCATGAAAGCAATGGTTTCCCCACAACATTATGGAAGTGCAAATTGGACTCTGAAGAAGAGGCTAGAATACTATGGATAATCAAAGCTCTCAAGTTTCAAATAAATCAATTCAGAATTCTCATTCAAGCCTCAAATTAGCACATTTTGGACACATGCGAAGACCATTTTTTTGAAGAAACTGACAGTGATGGAAGTGGTAGGAAACAGAATCAGAAGAGGATAATCACCAGCAAGGTAGATGGATTCTGTTACAGCATCAATGGATGCAACTATGGAAGATGTGAAGAATCAGACTAGAGAAAATCTATGTAGTTGTTAAGAGCTGACATCAACTTTAGAGCAATGAATGAATGGATGGGTTTCAGAATCATTGGATTTTCCTTTTATACCAGAGAACGCCTACTAAATCCATCTGAGTTGCAGTAAGGTTCTTGCATATGCAAAATCTCCTATATATAATGTGATTAATGAATCTTTAATTAATTATTAGGGATACACAATCTACACACTTTAAAATTGAGATGTAATATAATTATGCCAGAAAGAAAATAATAAAGTCCTGCAATCTTGTAACAATGGAAGTAATTGTTTGGGATAAAAATAATCATGGATTAAGCTATGGAATTAAAAATCTTAATAATTAAACATTTCATTAAATTAGTTTAGTTTAATCATCTAGACTGCATGTAAATTAAGATGCATGTGATACAACTCACAGTGAGGAACAGAAAGCAGGCCAACTCTGGAGCATGGCAACTTGCTAAATACAAAGCTCATAGAACAAATGCAGTTAATGTCCTAGGCATTTATGTTTACTTTTTAATCCTAGACTGGTACCATTTCTAATTAAGATTCATACTATTACTGAATTTTTAAACTTTTGATAAAGTACTGAAATACATTTATGATTTTTCATTCTATCTCACAACAGGTTTCCTGAACTGTTTGATTTATAGCCTTGATTATACTCTGAAGATTATGCTATAAATACATTGTCACACACCCCCGTATTTTCTAGGTCATATAAATCTGGGGATCATGATGAGCCAAGAATGAATCTGACTCTAGGCAGTATGATGACACTGCAAAAGTACGCTATCAAAATATACTATTACATAGAGATCATCTTAGCTTTAGTGAACACTAGCCAAATATATCTTGCCTTCTCTCTGTTTCATTGAAGATTATAAGAACTGACAGTTTACAAAGTGGGCCAGAACAGCCATTGGTATTAAACATTGGTGGCATCTTCCCCAGGTAAAACCCATCCTCTGGCTCTTATTTAAATGTCCCCTGTCCATCACCACTTAGATGGAACAACCCACCCCAATCCTTCAGATATTTCATTACCCCTTAACCCTGGCCTCCTGCTTCCTTTACCTGGGGCGGGGTGTGTGTGTGTGTCCTCCATCCCAAACACACAACCCAGATACCCAGAGTCAACCTGGGGGTATGGGGTAGTAGCACAACATGCAATGCTTCAGCGCTTGTTTTCAGCACAAATGGGGCCCCAACCATATTATGTTAAATAAAATTAAAATGAAATCTAATTAAGTTTATGACTTAGGCCATCCGCTTTTATTACTGGAATATAGAGCCTGGCTCATCAAATGTTCAGTGTATTCCTTGACCCTCTAAAACTTAAGCACTTCACAAAAGAAGCTATTTTCTGCATTCATTTTGTTTCATAGGAAGCCCATTGAATACTTCAACAGGCAATCAAATAGATATTAACAACATCTGTGTACCATGCTAAAATATAAATCCTAATTTAGTTCATCAGAATTGACAGCTGGTTTATGAAACTGATGTGTTGGGGGAGTCTACTAATCATAGTTCCTAGTTTGGATGAAACAGAATGGATGCCTAAGCATAGCTTCCTGGTTTTCCTCACTGTTGACACAAAAATGGGTCATATTTGAATGGGTATATTCATATTGTACAATTCTGATTTCCTGAACAAGTTCTTAATTTTTTTTTTTGGCTTGGCACTAAATAGAACATAGCCGTTAAGGTTTTAATCCTAACTCAACTCAACTTGCAATGTACTCCAGAGTAAAAATATCTTACATTTTTTTTAATGTAAGAAAGCCACTTCTAGTCCAGAGAGATTGCTTAAGAGGCCAGATCTAGTCCACAGATTGCCAGA